TCATGTGTTCTATTCATCAAACTGAGACTAAAGCAAAAGGCTCCCTCATGAAACTACGGCTATGTGCATGACTGGTGAAGACGATCGGTTCTTATTATTAGTTTAAATCCAAAAATAACGGGTTAGCTCACTGATGAATAATTAACATGTAATAGTTATTCTTATTGATTGAAGTCAATTCTGATGCAAATACTCAATAAGCCTGCGAAATCTAGCTTCTCAAATGTGAGCATCTGCAGTTTTTCTATTTGGAAAATCTGTGTACGTTACAACTGCATCACGTTTTGGTCTGAGGATCCCACGTAAATACATAAAACACGCACAAAATAAAAGCATTTCTCCGCTATTGAATTTGGAATACCATATTATTCAATTAATTGAGAGATTGACAGCTAATAAAGATAATCCATTTGGACACAGCGAGAGAATCTAATTGGTTTTAAATACTGCATGAAATATAAAAACTCTCATTCTCGGCTATTTTATTAAACATTCAAAGTCAGTTCATGTAGATCACTGCCATCATTCTACAGTTTTAACAATTAGTCTTCCATCTTCTACCTACATTGTGCTATGATGGCAGACTCTCTTTTCTCTGGCAATATTTGCCCTCCAAAGTGAAAACAAATCTCTGTTCAGAACCCAGTCACAAAACACAACACCTATTATTCCACTTGCGGGCAACCAGATAGAGAGGAAAAATGCAGCCTGGTATTCGATGTGGGTCAGACATGGAGTGTAGGAATGTGGGGAGCTGATGGCAGTTTAGTTTTTTTCTAATCTCCAATCTGTGTCTACTGAGATGCTTCCACGCATTCTCCACTCAGCGAGCCTCATAACGTTCTGGATTGTGAAGTCAGCCATGGAGGACAAATGTTGATGAGGCGGAGGCCCGTAAAAACATCTCTAATGCAATGTTTGCTCTGTTCTCCATCACTGAAACATTAGATTAAGTCACTGTGTGGCATTTGAGAGCTGCAAAACAGCCAACAAGTCAGCACTATCTCAGGAGAAAGATCAGCAGCTTCCTGAAGGCCTGCTGCAGCTTACAGGTCCAGACAGTCAAACAAACAGAGGCGTACCAGAGGCCTGGCCATGCGTGACGTGCCACGCTCCCCAGGCTGCTCCTAAACTTTTTGAAGCAAAGGGTAAAGACTGAAGAGAGGCTGACAGATGTTGCCATGGACATCCGAAAGATCATCAGACGTGTCGAAACCAAAGTAAAATGTCACTCAGTGGTTCATAGGTGGCGCACAAAGGGCAGCCGAGGACATACAGAAAGCTTTTTAAAACCATTACCTCAATGTCGTCCTAAACGTCATGCACAGACACCACAGTGTTTATCTGATTCACCGCAAAATCACTGCACTCATTCTTCTGAAGGCATAATTATTCTTCTGACATAATAGCCTGTTATTCTTCTGCATGAATTGGGCAATGAACCCAACCATACCTTGTGTTTTTTTGGTCATTTTATCTCCAGCTTTTCCCCCGCTCACTTAGCATGTTTTAACATGTTGCCGATGTGTGTCCACGTGCATAATCTCCCCTTGCGGCTTGAGCCAAGATATGACAAAAATGTCAATTATAATGTCTGAGCAGCAGCACCGTCTGGGACTGCACACGCCAAAAAGGTGGTAAAAACATCCTCGCTGACCACGAGGTCTGTAAAATCTCATTGTGATGTCTGTTGAGGTGACCTAGTGCACATTTCTAAATTTAAAAAAGCTCAAAGTTAGTTGATTCTCAGGTGCTGGCGAGTTCAAAGGTTGATCTGGGATTATGTGTGAGTTCGCTTTAAAGTCACAAACAGGGTCATGGGCAAAGTCTCAGATTCAAATCAAGCCTGAGACCTTTTGTTTGTCATTCTCTCACGCTTCATTTCCTCTCAACCCTCCACTGACTTCCATCAAATGAAAACAAACACGTCGAAGGAAAACTAAAGAAAAAAAAAACAGGGTCATTTTGGGAAGATTGAGGTTAGAGTTACATTTCCAAAGAAAATGTTACAGCACCACGTTTATCGGCAGCTCGATTTGTATACCAGATTTTAAAAGATAGGTTTAAAGTGTAATTGCAAACAAACTGGAGCTTTTTTTTTTTTGGAAACTAAGACACCGGGGTGGGTTTTCCTTGGGAAAGTCAGTGTGGAGGGGGATGCACACAATCCAAATGATGTTTTCATAACTTGAAAATCCAAATATTTTCCTTGCAAATGGTTTATTGCTGATCTATGAAACCTACAAAGATAACCTATGAACCAGTAATAGCTACAGAGTATACACCCATTCCAAAAACATCCCTGAGAAAGTGGTAACAATGCCTGTGATGTTTTTTTTTATGGTGTTTTTCTTCAATACAAACACCATCCTTATCACTACTGAGAACTCCCTGCAGAGAGATAATACAAAGTAAAGAGCAGGCCCTGCTTCTGGTGGCTTGACGTCCACTCCGGGACACTGTGGGCTCCCAGAGAGGAGGATTGCCGGGCTGTGCGGCACCGCTGTGGGCCAGCTGCTGCAGCTGTGTCCGCAGGCGTCATCAGCCTTGAAACTCTATCCATCCTGCTCGCCCTGCCCACATCCCGTCGGCAAAGCTCAATGTGTTTGCCTCACCGCTTTGTACCGGACAAAAAGAAAAGCAATGAGCAGAATATTCATCCGTCTTCAAATACAAAGCGGCTACCTGTACATGGCCTACCCCCAAAAAGACGCAGACAGATCAAAGTAGAGGGTTAAAACCACTGTGGGTGTGCTCTCTGTGGTCAGTTCTTTACACGTTTTTTAAGACTGATTTCATGACACAAAGGACATTTTCATTAAAACTAGATTTCCAACTTTACGAGCCCACTTGTAGTTTACTTTTCTCCAGCTCCAGCAGCAGACTGATGCGCTCCGCGTTTCCAAACAACTAGTCTGTTGCATGGCAATGCGCAGCCACCAGAAAGTAACAAAGCCATAAATAATATCGGAGACTCACTTGTCCAGAACAAAATAGAGGTCGAAGGCGCCCTGACAGGACCTCTCCTCCTCCTCCTCCTCCTGTTGCTCTCCTTTCACCGACACACCGAGAAAGAAAAATCCGAGCAGAGCCAAGGCGAGGAACATGCGAGCCTGCGTCCTCGCCATCTTTCCCGGTTACTGTTGACTACTCCAACGCTGCGACAGCTAAAGATCTTCACATTTCCATCTATCATGTGTTTCTGCGCCGACTGTGCGCTTTTATCGCTTTGTTTCTTGGTGGTCTGTCTTGCTATGTTGAGCGCATTCAAGCCTCCGGGAGTCTTGTTCAGGCTGGAAGCCGGGATTTCCAAGTCTTCTCTTTCGGCTGAGAAAAAAAAAAAAAAAAAAGCAGTGAAGCAGGGCAGGATGAAGGAGAGGAGCGACACCCGAGGAGAGATACAAAACTCCACTTTTTTTCTCATTTTCCACACTGAGAAAAAAAAACCTGACCTCACACATTTTGGACCTGATATCTACTGTCTGGTGTTATTTTATGCCAACTTACCACAGACTATTAGAATAATAATTAAAAGAATAAAAAATAAAACAGGAGTGTCCACTAAAACTGCATTTATTTCATTTTTGGAAACACCAGGCACCAGAAATGTGTATGACACATTAAAATCTATGAGTTAAAACCATGCTCTGGTCTTTAAACAACGTCACATTTTTTCGCCTTATTACTCCCATTTTAAGTTTTTTAAAAAAAAAATGAAATAAGCAGTCAGGATTTAGTAAATGATTTAATGTCATACAGCTACAGGACAAATAAATCCAACAGTTTATACCGTTTTTTTCAAAACGATGTCTCAGAATTAGTGTTAAATCCATCTAAAACTGCAAAGACAATCACAGATCTGAATTTGAATGCAAATAACCTCTATGCAAGGATGTGATGCTTAAAGGATTTCCATGTCTTCCTGTGATTGTCATCAAACCTCCCAAACCAATGCAGTGTGATAAGCTACCACAAATACAGGAACTGTTATCTAACATCAAATAAAAATAGTCATTTTAGTGTAATTGTACTTTAACCAGACTGCTGGAGCTCACCCAAAAGAGTCCTCCTTCAAGGCTTTTATGTGTTCCTGCTTTCTCATTACAGACATTTGGCTCAATAACCAGCAGGACATTTACCCAAACCAGAGCTTTGATGCAGAATAATCATTAAATGCTCATTAGACAGAAACATTTAGTTTATGAATAATGCATTTACCCGGTGGCAAACCCAAGACCTCCCTGCATCATGTCAAGTAATAGCGGCCAATTTTACAGTTTCACATTGCTCACAAAGGACAAATTTCCAACACTGGTGTAACTCTGGTGTAGCTGGACTTATTGTTTCCAGAAACGTGACCAAAACTTGTCTTTCAATCCCACATAGCGTGTTTGTGCCCAAGTATGGTCTGGATATCTGTTGCGCAAAGTCGACGCCTAATTGGTGTATGGACTTTTATTTAAAACCACACGTCAGAATAATGATTTTTATGTGATGAATTGCAGGCTGGCAAAAGCTGCGTGAGGTCTGGTGCCATAAGTTGTGTTCATGCAGTTCATGATTTTTAGACTAGAAAAAATGCGCAATTACGCAGGAGAGACTTGGAACACTTTCGTTGAAACACTGCGTAAAAGGTGACTGTTATTTTTGTTCATATGTAGCGCACAGTGAGTCCACATCAGCCTGCAGGATGCTGTATAATTGTGTTATAAAGAACACAAAGTGTGCATTAGTATCCAAATGATCACTGTTCTCTCCATATTAACACCCGCATCTCTCTTCCTCCCTGAAAGGACTGTAAAACAGACAAAGGAGAATTTACCAAATAAGAGGCCAAATTGAAGGCGTTTGTGTGTGCGCGCGTTTGTGCCTGAGCGCGCACGCGTTTAAATCAATGCGCCACGCTTCAGTGCGTCCCTGTGGAGGGGATAAGTGGGAGTGGGAGAGGAGAGAGACGACAGTGCGGAGGAAGATTCAGTCGGATAAGTAACTCGTCACCAACAAACCAGGGCTTCGTTTTTTTTTTTTTATCGAGGTCCGCTGCACCTGCTGCAACTTACTGCCACACGGAGCAAACATCTCCTCCATGTCCGGCTGGTGAGTCCACATTCAGCACTCTTTATTCACTTCTGCTCTCCTCTCTGCACGGGGATACAGCGTTTTCACTCTCAATTGTCACTAGGTTTAATGGGAAAATCTCGCATATTCACACTGGTACCAGATCATTCTGTTATGATGCTGGACGGGCAACATTTTAAACTAGAAACCACAAGATCCGATGCGTTTTATTTTCATCAGACAGTCAGATATCGGGAAATCAATGGTCGTGTAATCTACGTGCGACAGTGATGTTCATAAATTATATAAAACAAAAAACGTATTGAACTTCTCCTGCGCACAGAGGAGGCAGTTGGACTCCACGGCAGATGTGGAGACAAAAGGAGTAACCGAGTGAAAAACTGAGACAAAGGACGTTAGAAATCATTTTGCCTCGACACCGACTGCGCCTGCTTCACAGTGGGAGCCTTAATTTTACTGGCAGAGAGAAAAAACATAAAATACTGTTTGGGTGTATTTTTTTTCAGTATGGCAACACAATTCTGCTCGATCTTAGAACAAATCCAAATTGGCTAAAGGCATGGCAGACCATTAAACCTCATATGAGCACCACACAGTTTGATTATTGGCACTATTTTGTTTGACTGAAACATACAATTTAAAATGAGTATTAGTTGTTACAGTTCTCTGGATTTTAGTCTGATTCTAGTAATGATTATTCTAGGCCTCGTGGTTTTAACTTCATGTTGAAACAATATTGATTCTCAACCATTTAACACCTACATTTTTCACTTGCTCCTTAAATAATAATAACTCTTGTATTCTGTTACAGTTTAACGATGGATAACACTTTCCTGCCTCGGTCCATCTGGACCGCCGACAGTAAATTCCTCCAGCATCCAGCGGATCTGTACACCAGCGTGGTCGTTACGCGCAGCATCCCTGTAGGCACGTGCTTTGGTCCATGTGTTCTCCAAAACACTTTCTACGACACCATCGCCTTCATAGCGCAGAAATCCTGCGACAAGAGAGCCAAATCCTACGTGTTCAGGGTGAGTTACACAACTTTGTCAGCAAATGCCATGTAACATGGACACGTGGACTATTTTTTGGCATCTTCCAACAGCTTTACTTGAATTCCTTATTATATAACTCAGTGTGTGCCAACATGATTTCACAGCCACTGTTTGACTTTTTTTGTTTGTTCGTCTGATAATTTTTTTTTAAACTGACTTTGCATATTTAATTTATCCTATTCCTTATTTTACGTGAGTTTTTTTTTTTTTTTTAAGCTGTCCACCTGCATTTTTGTTTGTCGTGAAGCTGCTATCTTATAACGTCAAAAAAGGTGAATAAAAATAATTTTGACAAGTAAAAATCACACTTGCTGGCAAAATTTTGCCGGATCAAGAATTTAACTTTTGACATATATTTTTAAATCCCAAGTTTGTAAGAAAGACACAAATTAAAAATGATACCATGTGAGAACTCGAGTAAATTGTCAGTGGTTCCTGTCAACAGGTCGACCCCGAGGCCATGCGTAATTCTGCCCTGGTGCTGTCCTGGCTGCGGCTCGTCCAGGCTGCGCGCAACAGAGAAGAGCAAAACACAGAGGCCTTTCTGAAAGCGGGTCAGCTGTATGTGCGAACCACCCGAGACATCAGGCAGGAGGAGGAGCTGCTGGTGTGGTACGACCAGGAGCTGTCTCACCTGCTGGGCTTCACAGATTTGACCAAAGGATCAAAAGAAGGTGAGACAGAGATGTGTAGTGCACAGTCAAGTCAAGACTTTGCTTGAAGACACTTTAAAGTGGGATTTTATTATCACCATCTTTGGACCTCTGAAAAATTATAATTTAAATTGTATGCCACTTCAAAATGTTAATTTATATGCACAATTTCACATTTGTCTGATTTTTTCCCCTGTCTCTTGTAGAATTCAAATGTGGACGATGTAACCAGGTCTTCAAAAATGAATATCCTTTCCTGGCTCACTGCCGATTCCTGTGTACTCAAGTAAAAAGTGACACCTGGAGCCGCGAGGTTTACGAGCACAAACACGTGGAAATTAAGAGGCAACGCCGAGTGACAGACTTCCATAACATCGCCAGAGATTTGGAACACAAAAAATCTGGCAACAACGAGGACGCAGAGATTTCCCCCAAGAGGAGGAAATACGAGGAAACCCTTTACCCCAAATGGCGAAAAACAGTTCTGTTAGAAAAAACGAATATTTCAAATGATGACAATATAACACAGCTGATTAAGGGTCACGACCATGCAGCAGGAGACGCGTCTTCCTCTGAGGGGAAACCAAAAGCTGATAAGATCAAACCGGATCATTTGGGACGTAAAACTGATGATTTTGCAGAAGTTGGAGATGCCAAGGAGACATTTACGCACGACAGAGAGACTGACGTACGCTCAGAGACAGGAGAAAGCTCTGGTGTGCGTTCAAGCAGCAGCAGCGCGTTTTCTCTGGTGCTGTCAAACAGCCAGGGAGAGCTGAAAAGCGCTTTTTGTAAACCGAGTAAAAGAACTTCTCCTGTGGACCCCCAGGCGCATCTGAGCAGCGCTTCAACAGCCCCCTCTAGCCGCCTGGAGGAGATGACTGATGCGTTCAGCTCCAGGACAGTTCTGGGATACAACAATCTGATGGGATCCAACATCCTGAGCAGTGACTTACAGACCGTGCACTCTCCGGTTGCGTTAAACAACGCTTTCCATTACGCACCGGAGCACTGGTCCAGAAACATTGGCGCTCAGCTGCAGACCACATCTTCTCTCACGATCCTCCCGCCGACTTTCACCTCGTTCGGCGTGTCGGTTCAGAACTGGTGCGCCAAATGCAACCTGTCCTTCCGCATGACCTCAGACCTCGTTTTCCACATGCGCTCCCATCACAAAAAGGAGTTCGCGGCGGAGTCTCAGGTGAGGAGGAGGAGGGAGGAGAAACTTACCTGCCCGATCTGCCACGAATACTTCCGAGAGCGGCACCACCTGTCCAGACACATGACTTCTCATAACTGAGTCAAGAAGGGACACAAAAAAACTCTATTTATTACCTAAATGATGCTCGTATTTAACAAGATCAGTCTCCAAAACTCACGGTGAGACTTTGGTGTTGAATGTAGGTAGCTGTAAAGACAAAAAAAAAGAAAAAGAAAAAAAAAAAAGCAACACATGGCCGTCTCAGCCTGTCCACTAGATGACGATAGAGGTGCGTGTAAGCTGATCTCACTGCAGTTTGTTGTCTGTCCTTTAGCGCTGTATGTTAGGTTGATGATTATTTTGTGCCTTATGGAACTCAGGAGGGAAGAAAGACGGAGAGATGTGGAGGACAGCTCACGATTGTCACAGATATCTCGACGCAATCCTCTTATTTATCAGCTTTTCTCTGCTCTGATTTGTACAGGAGATGATAGATTGAGTGTGTTTGCACATTGGTTTTGAAATCTAAAATTATGAAAGCAAAGCAAATGTGTCCAGTATTTCTTTTCCCCCCAACTTCATGTGGATTTAGATTAAAAAAAGGGTGTCATTTTTTTCTGATCCAATAGGCGGCGACTGAGATGAACTTTATCTGCCCTTTAAATCATTCAACGCATGAAATATCTATCAAATATATTTGCTTTCTTTAGTCTGTCCAGGATGACCTCAGGATTATGTGATTTGCAGAAAAAAATCAATGGGAAACAGTTAACACTATATGAGACTGAGTTTTGCTGTTGAAAATATAAATCCATATAATGTCTGTGTGGCATTTGAGATCAAGCATTAAGGGGTCCGTTTCCACGCTGCCAAATCACGTTTAAATGGTTTTTGCTGCTTATCATTTATCTACAGACCTGCCACATAAGCGCTGCTGCTTTATTTGTGATTTTATGTTTCTCCACCAATCACGGACAGCTTACTTTTCATTCAGGTTAAGCTGTGGACAGACGGACATAAATAGCCTGTTCTGTTGCAGGTAAATGAGGCGGGACGGAAGCATGAAGTTCATGGAAAAGTCAGGCCGAGACCTCGTTGAGCAGCTCTGTAACATAACCCTCCTCACACTATTGTTATCTACTTTTATTTCAATAAGACAGTTTGTCCTCTCGGTCTCTTTGTGCCACAACCTGATAAGACCATCGGCAGGTGCTTTTTTGGGGGGGAACTACAATAGATTTCCTTCATGGATGTTTTATTTGTGATTATGATCAACTGGAGAGCATCACTGATCTGTTTTATAACTGGGACTGAAACCTACACAAGACATTATTGTTCAGCACTTAGCTTTAAGTAGCCCAAACAATATTGGTTTAGATGTGCAAATGGACTTCTTGGCTGGGTAAAAGTTCTAAAAGTTATTTGGAAACTGGGGAGCTAGATTTTTTCCCCTCTCTTTTTTTTTTTCTTTACAATTTCTAAAAGAAAAATAAGATTTCAAAATAAAAAAACTAGTGGCCCACATGATTAAATAGGTGATTAAAGGGACACAGTGTCACTCTATTAAAGCCACGTCCTAATGAACGGAGCTATTACTTCTCTGAGCTCAGTCGCCATGTGAGGAAAGAGCCATTTCAGCCCAGACACAGAAAATCCTCTGTTGTCTAATAATGGCTGTATTTCTCTCCTTTAATTGAACAGTCATCGTGTGGAAAAACAAATATTGTTCTTGGTTTCCCCCCGCTTGCCTCGTTTTTGGCTTTTAGGCATTTTTGGGCTCTGAACGCGAGCCTAGACTACTGTGGTTTTCTCGGCTGGAGCTGACCATTGTAAGTACTCTCCTGTGACCGTGATTGCGGTTGACGTGGGGTTCACTCTCTAATAGCAGACTGTGGGTTCAGACTGTAAAGGGGATCAGTTAGGAAATGAGCAAAAAAGAAAAGAACCTGGATGTGTTCATTCCAGTTGGGCCAGCCTACTTTAAAGGTAAAACAGCTATTAATGTAAACATGATTTATAATAAGCCTAATTATAGTTATTATATTAATTTAAATGGAGGTTATACCCCATAAATGGTGCATTTGTAAAGCGGGTAGGAGTTGCTGAACGTTTCCACTTGTTCGGAACGGAGAAAAATGAATCATACATTTGGGTATATCAGACGACTCACTCCTGTCTCATCGGTCTCTCTTCGTCATCCTGAAATATGACTTAAACATCAGCTTTTAAGGATTGTTACAATGATTACTAACTCATCAGTGCACGTTAAAGTAAAACAGCAGTACACTTTGTCGGTGAATTCTCAGTTGCTGCCACTTCTTTGTGAAACACTCTTTTAATTTAGCTTTTGTAACAACAAATACTAAAATAGACTTTAAATTTTTATTACCAAGATAAAATGATATGATTTTCCTATTTGCATTATATTTTCTGATTAACATGCAAAGTTTTCACCCTTTTTTAGAAGCTTTTATGTTTCTTTGTTAGAAAACATAAAACTAAATGGGTTTTCATTCAGCCTCTTTTCACTTTTCAGCAGAAACAGCTTATGTAAAAGTGAAAACAGGTCTCTACAAATTGAGCTAAATTATTTTGACATAAAAAAAAAAACACACACACACACACACACAAAATGCATGTTTGCAACAGAAATCCCTCCCTGTCAAAAAAAAAGACACCTAAGTTGTTCCTGTCTAATGCACCATTTGGCTGTAGAAGTCAAATCATTGGTTGAATGGAAATAAACTATGTAATAAAATAGTTTAAATTAGTGAATTTGTAGATCTGTTTTCACTTTAACATTAAAAGGTCTTCCTCTGCTGATCCGTGTCAAAAAAAGCCACATGAAATCCAACTTGATTCGTTGCTGTAAAACAATGAAACACAAACTTCCAAACTTTTTATAATCTCTGCACCTCTAATGGACAAAGCAGTCCAGATCGGAGAGGTGGCACCATTCATTTTTAGAGACAACAACAGAGCGCTCTCCGTACACAATGATTGCAAACAAGCCAAAAGACTTGAAGCATTACTGTCAGCTGCAGTAAATACTGTAACTGTTTGGTCTTTTGTTCCTTCCCCCCCCGAGTGGTTACTAAATGTCTCTGTCTTTGAGACCAACTTACTGTCCAGTCGTGGCAAACTTCAAAGCGTTCTGTTGTTGCAAACAGATGTGGTGCTTCGTGCCAACTTTCTGAGACTCAAGGCAAAAACAACCGCAGAGTAATTGGGTGAATAATCAAATGGTTCCCTCTATCATTTCACTGTCAGTTTGACACACTGTTTCGGCACCATGTGGGTCACCTTCGTCCTCTTGTGAATAAAAGCGACAAGCAGTTGAGTTAAAGTGGCTGAGATCATCTATCTGTGACCATCTGTTTAAAAAGAACTCTGCACTCGGAAAAGTTCTGCTTTCGAACGGGTAGAAAAGGGGAAGTGCACCGTGTTTTGAAGTTCGAGTGGCTGACGTCCTAATAGGTGCGTGCCTGCTTCCTCCATCAACCATTAATCCACGGCGGCTGCGTCTGTCACATTATTTGCTGGACAACAGACGTCTGAGCCTTTGGTGCGGGGTAATAATGGGTTCAAGGGGCCTTAGGGGAATGTTGGTTATCTCTGAGTGGAACCTTCCTGCTTTTGTACTAAGCTATTTTGGAACAGTGGTCCCCTTTTAGGTTTGTTTTCACAGAAAAGTTCACCCCACGAATCAAACGTCATGCACAGTAATCTACAAAGAATAACACAAACTGTGTGAAACAATAATACTCAAGCAAGAGCATTGGATTAAATTACTTTTTTATTCTAATTTATAGCGGGCTACCCTTTCATAATTTAAACAATACACATGTACAAAACACAGTCTCATCTAAAATATAGTAATACATATTCTAGTAACCATGACAAATTATTTTTAACCAAGTTTCACATTCAAAATAGAAAAATATTTCTGGTTTCATTATAACATTCTTGAAGTGTTATGAGGGGGTTGGTGGGTGTAAATGAATTCCAGATGCTCTCTACAATTCATTGGATACTTCCTTTTAAAGATATAAAGAGCTAGACTGTACAATAACCTTCCTGTCTTGCTAACAAATTCACTTTGCATGTATGTACAATGTGCCGTGTGATTGGCTTAAAAGTAAGAACAGCTGGACGCAGTATGTAAAAATGTTTGATAATCTCTCTCATGTGTATGCTGCTGTGTAAGCTGCCCGATGACACATTAATAAAAATCTTTTATTTATAGTCTCTGTATCCAAAGAATACATGAACACAAACTCACTGTGAGCTCTTTGAAAAACAAGTACATTCTGCGATAAAAAGGAAAACATCTCTGAAATGTTCCTGCCCATGTCAATGTTATTTCAAACACAGAATAAAACCTGCTGGGCTTCATAGACATGTGCAGCGTTGACTTTACATGTGTGACTCTGTTCCTCTGGTAACGCAGATGCCAGACAATGTGTCTCTTCAAGTCTGCTGCCGCAGGACAGGAGAGATGGAAGTGATTTCTCTACAGCCTATGTTCCTCGAGGAATAGCGACGGCCAAAGTGACTTTGTTTCTCAGTATGAGGAAACCACTTAACAGAGGTATGGTTCTGTCTCCATTAGTCCTGTTTTCTGTTTCTCTTCACATCCACCCTGTTCTGTGCTTTGATCCTACCCCCTTCCTATCTGCACGAGCAGGACTGGACGGACATATTGGGGTAAATCTTGAGCACTGGGTTCCTGGATTCATCCTGATAGAGCACAGCCAGAGGGTTCATACTTTCTGGGACGCAGCAGGGCTCAGGAACCCCAGGGATGATCCCAACAGCTCGGACTATGCTCTGGATGGTGGCGTGGTTAGATGGTCTTGTCACCTGGGAGAGTTTGAATGGAGAAGAATGTAAAAAGTTGGGGTTAGACAACAGATATAAAAGAATAAGATAATAGAGACAATTTGGTACTGAATGAGGTGAGATATAAAGTGAGTAAGATGTTAGTGCTCCTACCTTGGGCATGGGAAATCCACATGTGCCAGCGCAGTAGTAGGCGTCAAAGGCCTTGGGTGCTATGACCCACTCACTCCAGCCAATATCTGCAAAGTCCACTCTGAGGTTCCTCCTGGAGCATCCACTGTGCTGGTTGTTGCTCCACTGTCGCCTCCTGGCTTTGCGCATTGTTTGTTCATCAAAACTCAGAACAGGTGACTGAGCGTTCACACTCCCTTTATGCTTCTTTCCGTCCTTTCCCTCATTTCTCCGCTCATGCTTCCGCCTGTCGCTGATAGTCAGTGTGCGACTATCTTTGAGTTTTGTCACAGTTGAGTCATCGGTTTTCATCCCTTGTGATGTTCTTTCTTTCTCTTTGAGAACCTCAGGTTCATGCACTCGTCTACTTTGCTCTACTCCTTCCTCCTCGTGGCTCTTTCTCTTCTTTTCCTTCCTTCCTGATTTTGGCTTGGGTTTGAGTGCCAGGTACCAAGTGCTCTCCCAAAGGTCATCTTTCCTGTATCCATCAGGCCTGTAGTCAACCTCAGGCAGCTCATTGTTCTGGATGGG